ATAACCTTTTCCCTAACAGGACCATTCCTAGAGGATTTTATGACTCCATCGTGAATGAATGTTGTTTTATATGTAACTTTTCAGTAATTGACTTTTGAAATTAAATGATTGTAAACAAGCAGAGGCATTCAAATCATGATTAAGGATGGCTCCTGTGATTTCGCTGAAGCTAGAGGGATTAAATGAAAGCACTGCCTGGCACTGTGTGAATGTATTTTTGTCAACATGATGCTTTGCGCTCGACAGATGTGCATTGGATGAGCAAAAGGTAAAACTATAATAATGTGTTAAATATTGTGATATGTACTAAGATAAATCTATTTTATGGTTTTTGATGAATATAAATGGTTAGACTTGTTAAAAGCTTTTTGTAAGAATTATAGGAATGGAACCTATATATTTCATGCTTTACAGGACTATCTACTTCTGTTAAAACCTTGATTTGATGTTTTAACAGCTTCAGATTTCACAATTTGATTGCAATGTTATGTTTTAATTATGTGGTTAACATGTCTAATTGAATTAATGAGGTATAATTTTAGTGCATTTAGCAATATCCATGCACTATAAAGCTTTATTAAAAAGATGGTCTTTTTTCAGATTATTGATTCTTTAAATGTTATTTCTATTTTTTTATTTATAAAATGATTATTTAATCATATCTATAATAAAGATTATGAGTAAGATTTTCATATACACAGTGCTTAACTGTAATATAAAATTGGAATTTACAGAAATTTGTAATTTCGAATTCTTCACTTTTACTGTCATGATTTTCAAAAATTACATAGGTCTGAAGAGTTAAAAATATATGCAAATTAAAACTTAAGTTTCTATCTAATCATTTGCTGTTCTTATAGATGTTTTTAAATGTTTACTGGATTATATTTTAGTAATTTGATTAATCTATAATATATGGTCAGTATTGATATATACAAGTGGTGTAGTAACAGAAACCACATTCAATGGTATGGTTGTAAATATTAAAACAGAAACTATGGTAAGACATGATCAATTAATATACAGTGTGTAAATTGAGACTGCCTTTGGGAGATTGGGAAAGTGACTAACTGGGAAAGAATCTTTTTATTTGGAGATTCCCCATCAGTCAGTATAATTTTGGGGCATGGGATTTTAAAGAGGCTAATTGGTAGTTTCTTGCTCAAACTATTATGCTCAATCAAGTGTGTGAATACATAGCTAGGATATTTAGAAATAGACTGGTTAATTCACATTACAAAAAATTATAAGCAATGAACAGAAATGCTACTGATTAAAGTAGAAATAGGATATTTCTATATGTGATTTTCCATAAACTCATTCCAATTAAAATTACTATAACAGAGTGAAAGAGAAAATAATTCTAACGATCTAGGTTTCAATGAAGAGGTGAACAGATACTACATTAATATAAAGTGAATGTAAAGATGCAGTGACATTGTATCATCGGTAAGAAGCAGGAATTGATAACATGTATAGGAGCAAAAATTAAAGCACCATATAATGTCACAAATACATTTTATTCTAAACAAAGGTGTAATTTTGGATTCTGCCTCTTAATTTCTTAGGGCCTTTGAAGGATTAAGTGAAATATAACATTTTAGGTGAATTGCTTCATTTTTCTGAATGATAGTTTATGGGTTAAATACTGTAAATGCTTCATGATTGTTTAGAGAAGTATACAAATTATCATTATATTAATAATAAGTGCTAATGCTTGTTTGAAAGATCAAGGGTGAAGATAGAGATTAGAGATATCGTACTTGAATATTCATCAGTTCCTGAAAAATATAATGTCTAAGAAATATAGCAGTTTTACTTCAAAGGAGAGTGTACATGCAATAATTCACATTACAGTTTTTAAAAATTGTTTTGACAGGGTATTTTAATATTCTGGCATAACTAGTATTAGATTCTTCATTGCTTGGTAAGAACATTCTTATAATAAAATCTTGCCTTACTTCTAGCGTACCTTTAATATAGGGTAAGGTACCTTAAAGCGTATTTTTAAAAACCTAATTCCAAGTCAAGTAACAGTGACAATAGTTATCCCAGCTTCAGAAATCATGACCACTGTTCTGTTTTTACTTAAATCCAGTACAAATCAGTGTCTACAGTATAATTCATATACTTCAGAAACATTTCATAATCTCTAGAACAAAGTGGTTGCTGGATTTAATACTGAATTCAGTTTATTGAAGACATGATTAAAAAAGCATTTATATGGCTTCCTAAAGACTAATTATTAATATGCTTTTTACTGGAACTGAATTCTATAAGTAAATATTCTTATTTATCAATAAAATAGAATCTACTGCTTGTGTTATAAAGGCTCATTATATTCACTTTGTACCTTACTTTCAGAAATTCATGTTAATTCCTCAATGAATGAAGTGTTCTTTTTAAAATTTTTTATTTTACTTCTGTCCTGTAATACCCAGTGTGATGTTAAGGATATTACTGGAAATCCCTAATTTCAAAGACGTGTTATTCTACATGTTTAGTTGTAAAGTGGTAGATGCTCAAAATATATTTTGCCAAAGAAGTCATTTTATAAACAAGAGTTGGTTTTTGAAGACCACCAACAAAAGCCAAGTTAACATATAAGGGAGCCAAATTACACTACTTATAAAAGTAGTTCCTTCCTTTCACTTGAGGTGCTATTATTACTGTGAGGGGTGCAGCAGGAGAAAGAACTAGACTATTTTAGCTGTCAGTGGGTTTAAATATTGAAAAAAGAGCAAGCCATGAAAAGTCGAGATAATTTAAGGGAGAATTAATTAATCAATTCTTTAATTTAACAGATGTTTTATTGAGCACCTGCTATGTTCCAGCCTACTTAGATACAGGTTGTCCTTCCTTATGAAACCTAACATTTTGAAGGCAGAAATGGATAAGATTAACTAGAGAAGAAGCACAGTAAGGAAGAAGGTCACCTTTATGTTGAATTGCCTTCAAAGTAGACAGTATTCTCCTTAACATTTTCTGAAAACTTTTACTTGACTTTTTTGTATGGCCTTGCTTTCTCACATTTTACAGATTAATTTGTATAAACAATCTGATGGCTTGATAAGTTATTTTGGTAAGATGATTAAACTGTGTTCATTTTCATTTAATATGTGTGTTTTACTTTTCACTTTCAAGTGAGATCACATATAATGGGGAATTGGAATTTACCCCATTTGGAAGTGTGGAACATTTTGAAATGAAGGAGTATGTGAAAAGGCTCTGTGTGTTGCTTTTAGGTGGATGCTAGACATCAACTACCTTGGAAAATCCTTGACTTAGTAAAACAACAATTAAGAGTTCAGTTGACTTATATTTTATAGACAGCCTTGAATAAAAGTTTTAAAAAAGTAATAGCAACTTAGTGAGAAACCCAAAATATTTCCGATGAAGTCGTATATATTTTTTTATAAATGGTCTTTATTTGGTGTAACTACATATTCAGGTCTTAATTCAGATATATCTTTTTAGAAAGATCTTCTATATCCCAAGTCACTGTTTGGAATTTTCACTGTTTCAATTTTTTAATAGTATTTATCACTATGAAAAGACATTAATTTACTTGTTTATATGCTCACTCTCTGTCTCCCCATTAGAAGGACAGCTTTTTGAGAGCACAGACCTTCTGTATCTTTCCCCTTCTCTGCTCCCAACAACTAGAATCGTACCTGGCACATAGTGAGCCCTAGATAAATACTTGTTGAATGAATGAATAAATAGTAGAGCTACAAAGGTATATTTAACACAGTCTTTAAAGTCTAGTCAACAGTACAGAATACTAATTAGGTAATTGCGAACAGAATGATTAGTATTATGTTGAGAAAATACAAAGGCACAAAAGTGGGCTGATCTCCTGGTCCATGGTAGTGAGGTAATGAATACTGCTTTCATTTAACAAATCACATTTTATTTCCATTTGTATGTCTCCAAAATTCATACATAGCTGCACAATTTCATATTCAGCCCCCCATTGAACCTTACACAAAGTAGAATTCATTTAATTAAACAATTTCTAAGTAAAATTAAAAAAATAATTTACATATGTATCAAATCAGTCCGAGAAACAGAGCGAAAAGAGTAAAAATAGAATTTTACTGTTGGAACAGAATCGATTTCTTGATATTAAATAAGGCTTATAAATAACTGTTGTATTTTTAGAGGAAAATGTTATTAATTTGGATTTGAAAATATAATATCGTTTATAACAAAATATATTTGAATTCTGAACATGAAGTCTGCATCTAACGGAGGCTAGATTGTCAGTTGGAGGAGGAACTGATTCTTTAGAGTTCTTCAGAGAACTTCTCTTCTATCTTGGTATTTTAGTAAGTAGATAAAAGTAGCCAGCTAGTGAGATATGTTAAAATTTGCCACCAGTTAATTACATCTTGACAGGAGTATCCTTATTACTTTTTTCTATTCTTTAAGATTTCATTTAGGCATGTTAACTTGCTGAAGCTATGGCATCAATATTATAATACTGTAGTCCCTAAGAAATGGAAGAAGGTGTTAGAATCATTTAGAATGATGTATGGGTTAATGTGTGTATAATCTCTGTCTCCCACTTTTCAGCATAGACTCAAAACATAAATGTGGCTGTATTGGCTCAGTTAATGTCAAATGTAGGACTGTGAAAAACCCAGATCCCTCAACTTCCACGTACTGCTACATGGCTACCATGTTAACATATGTTTTTCTTTAGTTGTGTGTATACAAATAATGACTAAAAGTAAAATAAGATATGCATAACAGATGTTATGTAGGTTAAACCATAAAACTTGAGTGTTCTGTTGTGGTTGTCTATTTTAAACTGTAGGTTGTATATTTTAAACTGTATATTTAAACTTCTGGTTTAGTATGACTTTAAAAGGAAATTTTAAAAAATGAAGCAAAAGAACTATTTGATTTTATTCATCAAGCTGTCAGTGAATCAATAATATACAAACTCATTTAAATGCTGTTCTTCTCATCATTTCTTTTATTTGATTACCTAGGAAAAGAAGTCCGTCGGTGTCCAGAGATCAGAAGCGAAGATACGACCAAAGGGAAGACAGAGAGGAATATCCACAGTATGCTACTTCAGACAGCGCAATGCCTAGGTCTCCATCAGATTATGCTGATAGGCGCTCTCAACGGGAACCTCAGTTTTATGAAGAATCTGATCATATAAGTTATAGGGACTCCAATAGGAGAAGCCATAAGCATTCCAAAGAATATATTGTAGATGATGAAGATGTGGAGAGCAGAGATGAATATGAAAGACAAAGGAGAGAGGAGGAATACCAGGCACGCTATCGAAGTGATCCAAATTTGGCCCGCTACCCAGTAAAGCCACAGCCCTATGAAGAACAAATGCGTATTCATGCTGAAGTGTCCAGGGCACGGCATGAGAGAAGGCATAGTGATGTTTCTTTGGCAAATGCTGAACTGGAAGATTCCAGGATTTCTATGCTAAGGATGGAACGACCATCAAGGCAAAGATCTGTATCTGAACGTAGGGCTGCCATGGAAAATCAGCGATCTTACTCAATGGAGAGAACTCGAGAGGCTCAGGGACCAAGTTCTTATCCGCAAAGGACCACAAACCACAGTCCTCCTACCCCCCGGAGGAGTCCAATACCCATCGATAGACAAGATATGAGGCGTACTGACTCACTAAGGAAACAACACCACTTAGATCCTAGCTCCGCTGTGAGGAAAACGAAACGGGAAAAAATGGAAACGATGTTAAGGAATGATTCTCTAAGTTCCGACCAGTCAGAGTCTGTGAGACCTCCACCACCAAAGCCTCATAAATCAAAGAAAGGAGGTAAAATGCGCCAGGTTTCACTGAGCAGTTCAGAGGAGGAGCTAGCTTCCACACCTGAATATACGAGTTGTGATGATGTGGAGATTGAAAGTGAGAGTGTAAGTGAAAAAGGTAAGCTGCTCTGTTCCAGTCGCACAGTTCCCGAAATTGATTCCATGAAGAGGGTTTTGTTTTAGGTTGGATTTCTGAGTCAACATTTAAAGTTAGATGTCACTAACTTTATTTCAAGTGTTTTTAATGGTATTGATTATATGAAGAAAATTTCAAGTTGTAAAAAGTGAACATCCTCTGTTGATTTTTAAAATTGTTTTTTGCTTTGTTTCTGAAAAACTTCTTCCACCGCTTGATGGCATATTAAAAAAACCCCTATTAGTCATATATCTTTTTTTGTTTTCAATTTTAAAACTGACAATATGTTACTATAGAACGTCTGAAAAACTCAAAGTGTAACACATGAAATATTGGGCTGGCCAAAAAGTTTGTTTAGTTTTTTCTGTATGATGTCTTTAGTAGTGCTTAGTTGTCTTTTAAATTTGAAACAATTTGAAACAATTTTGTTAGATTGTATTGTGACAGCTGTCATATTAGCCTGCATTTAGAAAAGTCAAAATTGGTGAATTTTGTGTAGCTATTTTAATATTGAAGATGGAAGAAAATAGGCAAAATTTTTGGTATATTCTTTTTATTTCAAAAACAGTAAAAATACAACTGAAATAAATGCAAAGTTAAAAATGCAAAAAAAAAAGATTTGTGCAGTGTATGGAAAAGGTGTTGTGACTGATCAAACATGTCAAAAGTGGTTTGTGAAGTTTCTTGGTACTGTTGACATTTCGGCCAAATAATTCTTTGCCATGGGCTGTCTTATGCATTTAGCAGCAGCCCTGACTTCTGCCCTGTAGAATACAGAAGCAGGAGATAGCTGACATACTCAAAATACCCAAATTAATCAAGTTATTGGCGAAAATGAAATATGTGCCTTTTATTTCATGGAATAAACTAAATGGACTTTTTGGCCAACCCAATATAAGCTATCCATAACATGTTTCCCAAATATAACCATTATTAACATTTTGTTGTATTTCTTCTCTTTTGCCTATGCTTGTGTTCTGATTTTTTTCAATTGATATCATCATGTCATTAGATTTTTCCAAGCCATTAGATAGCCTTCAGAAATATGTTTTAAATGGCTGCACTAATATTGTAGTCGCTTCCAATTATTATTATGAATGATATCATGATGGTCATCTTTATATACATAATTTTTTGCCTATATCTCTGAGTATTTCACAACAACATATTCGTGCTTTGATTTTTTTAAAGCTTTTAATTCAGATTACCAGCCTGCTTTCCAAAAAGGTTATAATGCTTCATACTTCTGGCCTATGCTGTCATCAAGCAAATAGACTTGAGCTTTGGGGCTAAGTGCACCAAATCTTTGCCTTTCGAATAGACCACCAAAAAAAAATGCTCTTTGTCATTTTAATTTGATTGTGAAGTTGAATATTTTGTATGTAAATTGGTGTTTGATATCTTCTTTGAATTATCTAGTCCTTTTATTTCTTCTACCCATGTTCCTATTGGGCATTAATTAGTTTTTATCTTACTGATTTATAAGAGATTTTTATGTGCTTAGGATTTTACCCATTTAACTATCATCTGTTCCAAATGTATTTCCCATTTTGATGTTTACCCAGTAATTTTCTTTGGTCATTTGGAAATATTGAACTTAATATAGCTAAGTCTTTGTATTCTTTGGTGATTTTTTTCCTTTTACCCCCGAAACTCTTTATATATTCCTAAATCAGTTAAATATTTAGCTGTATATTTTCTCATGATTTTATTATTGATTTTTAATCTTTAAGTTCTTTCCAAATTTATTTCGATGTGTGCCAAAATACATCAGATAGGTGAGGATTGAACATGAATCCCTTGTACCACTTCCTTCACACACACAATTTTCTGACAATATTTGAGGAATAATTGATTGCTTGTACATAAAAAAGGAACAGAAATTACTAAAGGAATTCAAGAAGGCAGCTGCATCTGAAGTTAATATAGAATTACTTTATATTGTATGAAAAATAATTAGGAATTACAAATGAGAGACAGTTTCCATTCTGAACTAAAACAGAAAATGTAATTTAAAAATAAATGATCAGAAATGAGGGGGACCTCCATGAAGAAAGCTCTGACACTTGACTGAGTAACGTAAAGGAAGATTTGCGTAGGTTCACTTCCCCTAAAGGGGAAGGCCGAATACCGTAACAACACGTGTTCCTTTCAGATCATCTCTAGAGGTGAATAACATTTTAGTCACTTGGTTTATTGAAGTGACTAACTTCAATCTCACTTGGTTTATTGAAGTATCCTATTTCTAAAGTTATACTGGAAGGTATAAGGGGAGGAAAACTTAACTCTTCTTTCCTTCTATGCCTCTTAAGTTTATTGGCTGGGGTCCTATAAATTGAACTGACAAAAACAGATTGACAAGAGAAAGATGAATTTATCATCATGTACATTGCACATACATATGAGAACATCCAGCAAAGGGGTGATTAGAATTTGAGCTTATATAACAAAAGAACAATACATTTTTAGAGAGGGGACAAGACAAAAGAAAAGGACTTTGAGCTTCTAGTGGAGGTGGATGGTGGGAAACTAATGGAAGATAAGGAAACTAATAAAACTTGCTAGTTTTAGCAAGTTTTATTTTGTGGTTTCTGTAGGTGCTTATATAAGGGTCAGGAGTTATCTCCGGTAGTTAACTTCAGCAATCCTCTGATAGAGGAGAAAGGGGATCATCTTTCCAAATACATGCCGTGTTTTTAGGCAGATAGGGAGAAGGCAGGGACCTTTTTGTACCTGCTTGTCCTTGGTTGCTTTTATCTCAAAACATCTTTTTTTGCCCAAGTGTCATATTACAGCAAATAAGTGATAAAAGCATAGAAATCAATATATGGACTCTGGGGAAATGCATGTACAGAGGGGAAAAAGTCAAGTTAGAGTCAGTCTCATTTCATACAAGTTGCATTTAAGTTATAAATAATTAGAAACTTATGCTTGTTAAAATATAAAGTTCTATAAAGAAAAATTGTAGATCTTAATTTTGTCATAGAGCATATAGATATTTCCCAGAAGCTGCAATATTTTCTTAAATTTATTTAATAATCTTCAGTTTGATCATTTTTAATATTTGCCTGAGTGTATAATGAAAGGTAAGAAAAAGATAGTTTTGTTATTTTTAGTGGTTTGGTTTAGATTTGGTTACATACTTCCATTATTTGCTAAAATAATGCTTCTACTTTTACCACATAAAAAGACATATAAAGCCCCCCCCAAAAAAAACAACCACCCAGAAATGCATCAATCTAATATTTGAAAGCTTTTTATATGTGGTATCTAAGGTCTTATACATTGTTTCAGGATTTTGAAGTACACATAAAAATCTCCCATAAATAAAGAGTGATACGTGAGTTAAATGAAAATCCTTCATAATATTATTTAGCAGAACTAAAACATTTGTCAAATATGGAAAGAAACTGCAGGTCTCTCATATCTGTATTATTCCCTAACTTGAACTCTTAGTAAATACTCTCAGAGATAGTCCTCCTTTTCATCTATGTAATGATTCATTTGAGTATGGTTTCTGCTAACATGTATTCCCAGAAAAAAATCATGATTTAAGTCATTGTAGAAGAAAAAATAGGTATAAAATAACCTTTTCCTGTTCAGTATTACCCCCAATTGTAGTATGCCGTGAGAAGTACCTGTGTAGAAACTAGGATAGTCTCTGTAGTGATTTGTATGTTTTGTAACACTTATCTCTTAATCCATTATGATACAGTTTGCTTTCCACATGCTATATTAACCAGTTCCCCAACTTGTAATTTTCCTTCTTTGTTTTTTTATCTTTGTATTATGGAAGGAGATGTCTTAGATTACTGATGTCATAGTAGCTCTGAATTTCAGTGTTGGACATGACTTTCAAAATTTTAAATATATTTTTTATAAGCTTAAAAAATTACCTTTACAATTTTACCTAATATCAAGTTATTAAATAATAAATTTGGGGCTCGATTGTGGGACTGTCTTAATGTATTTTAAAATGTTTAGCAGCATCCAGGGCCTCTCTCCGCTAGATGGCAGTAGCATCTCCACCCCCACTTGTGACAACTAAAAATATCTCCAAACAAATATCCATTGTGGGACAAAGTCCCTTATCTCCACTATTCCACCCTCCATTTCTAGTTACTCCCCTTCCCTCACTTTCAGAACCCACTGACAGTCATAACCCTATTTAAAAAAAAAGAGGGAGACTAGAATTAGATGGAGTAGCTAACAGTGAAGTGTACCAAGTAAGGGTAATTAATCTGTAAAACATTTTTTTTTAGTGTTGTGTATGTGCTTTATAGACTCACAATATATATGTATTTCTTTTTGTGGGTCATGGCCAAAAATGCTTTAAGGCTGCTTTCTTATATTAGAATTTTGTGACTCATGTGATGCTAGCTAGTGTTTCCTGCTTTTCCCATTTCTATCCCTGGAGAAAGGTCTAGACATGATGTTCAGTGGCTAATTGATGTACTGTAATTATAAACTATACTGTTTATAATTTAATATATTTTAATCTTAATATTATAATGCACCATATTTTTTTCTTTAATAGTCACGGTCAACAACCAAAGTGGTTTAATAGTCAACCACTTTTGCCCAATTGCACAAAACATACCTATTTTGATCTTTTTTGAGCAATAAGATCAATTGTGGAGTGTTTTAGTTTTTCCCTGTCTTCTAGGTCTGAATTGAACTGATTTTACTTTGTAGTTGCAGGTCTCTTTTTGTCTCTGTAAAATCTTGGGACACTGGGGTAGTAAACGCAAGAACCCATGTGGATGGCAGTCTCATAGGCTGTAAGTTGTGAAATGTTTGGTTCAGATAGACTCGAGTAGCACAATACACTGCTTCCTTGTGCTTGTTTGTGAGAGAGGGTGAATAGAGGTGTCAGGGTAGAGCGATGTGGAGAGCAGAGACAGAATAGGAAGGAGAGAAGGTGGATTGCAGACTTCCAGATAAAAGCGTAGGTCTTAAATATTAAAAATAAATCCTAAAGA